ATTAATAGAATATTAATTTAATTGAAAATGAATACGTTTAACTCTCCGATTAACACCGATTGTTACAAAACAAAAAATAAAAGTCAATTTAGTTTAATTTTCAATGCTCTTTCTTATAGTATAATTTTAAATTGATAATAATGAATAGACTTTTTCTATAATCAATAGTTTTTAAAAAATATTTATACCATAAATGTAGTTCATTCTATTTTGAATCTAATGACTTTTTTTTTAAAAACATTTTCTGTTCTTCGACAATGTTAAAATTGATCACTAAAAAAAAGTGCTTTTCAAACAAGAAAAAAATAAACATAAGTTAAGAAGGGTTGGTGAATTTTTTAATAAAGACAGTTATTGTATATAACACAAAGAAATAATTAACTATTGAGTTTATCAGTTTGTTGAACGAAAAAAAAATAGTGTTTTAGAATGTATGAATGGAAATTGAATCCAATAACATGGTAGCATAAAGTAAAGCACTTTAGAATATATTCTTCGTCAAGTGTAAATAGGTTTTTTAGCATTTTTCTAGTTGTTTCTATCAATTGATAATTATTTTGTTTTATTCTTTATTATAAAAATTCATTTACAGATATATAATAGTATTGGTTTTAACAAATCAATATTGAACGAAAACGACTTTTGATTACTGTATGAGATATTTTTGCGTAATTTGTACTATAGTATTTATTATTATATAAAGATGAACTCAAGCTGAATATTTTATTTTATTAACTAGCAATATTCGGATTAAAATTTGTATTTCACATTAGTTTTTTTTTAAAAATAAGTTAGAAATATTATATTCAACGTTTATCACTAAACTTTTTCAAAGTTATAATGTCATTGTTCTTATTTTTTATTTATTTAATAAATATTTTTTTTATTTTCGAGATTAATTTCAATCTTTTTTTTGTTTTGTTTTTATTTGATATGATGCTCTAAAATTACTATATCAGTTTTATTCTAAAATTCGGGAAGTTTTTTGTGACAATATATCTGGAAATACTATGCAACAGTACCTACTTGACTATCTGATCAGTATCTTCAATTATATCCATTTCCTATATATATTTAGTGATGTATCTGCCAAAATATCACATAAGTACCTAGAATTTTCTCTGCAATACTATTAGCAGGGTACTTTGTCAGATATTCTTGACTGAGTAGATTCTTTAATGTCTGATATTCATAACATATTGATCGTGAAATACTTTCATTAAAGATCATTTGAACAATCATTTATCAATAAGAGCAGATTCTCTGTCTAGAAACTTTTCTCAACATCAACGAATATCCTTGCAGATTTGAGCTTGTCAAATATTCTAAATAATGATTTTTCATTGACATATTCAAATACAAAAAAACCAAGCAACTTCTCTACGGTTTAGTTTGTGATATTTGCAGTACTTTTGCATTAATCTTTAACAATCATATATATATATATATATATACTGTATTATCATTATTAATTCATTCTTGATCATGTATTTCTTTGGTTAGATTTGGTCCCTTTTTATTTCGACTGTAAATTGTTCAAATTGCTCCGATTATAATGTTCGAAGAACAACTGACAAAAGATAGGAAATCGTTCGAGATTTATTCTGTGACAGTTTCCTATAAGAAAGAGATTTAGTAGCACCAATTTCAGTTTACCATCAAGGCAAATTGGTTGTTGATCTATCAAGCGGATAGTTTAATCAACCACGAAATAAACTATACGAGAATGATACATTACAGCTCGGTTTCTCAATGACAAAAGGTGCAGTAACTATACTTGTTGTTCTTCATGTTCAACACGGTCTCCTTGACTATTCAGCGTTCGTTACGAAATATTGGTCAGAATATGGATAACATAGCAAGAAGAATACAACGATGGCAGATATTCTTTCATATCATGCTGAAATGTCTGATGATTGATCACTAATCGAACAGTATCTCAATTGGACAACAATGATACATAGATTAGAGTAACAAGTACCATATTGGCCTTCTAGAACGGCTCACCGTTATCATGCTTTGACATATTGTTGGTGAGCTGGGTAACTTGTTCAGTGCGTTGATTCTCAGAAGAGAACTTTTGAATAGATCATTCAAGATGAATTAGCAAATGAAATCGATATTGAGTTCTTGTTAGCTCGCTTCGACGAACTTAGCTTGGTTTATTTATTTCATATGTTAAATCTCTTCAAAATGTCCTTAAAATCACTAGGTATATATACATCCATAGAGAGGAGAAGAAGAACAAGAGAGAAAGAAGGAGAAACAACAATAACAATAACAATACAGTAGAAAGAAGAAGGGAGAGATAAAGAGATAGAGAATTGAGGGTAGGCAGAATGTGAGTCACCGTTAACATTCCTTCCCTCTTATGATAAATGTATGTCCGCACACATTAAGACTAAATTCATCAATTCGTTCAGCTTTATGACGTATGGCATCAATAAGATAATCAAATAGATATAATTTTAATCCATAATCATTTTCAAATAATAAATCATAAAAATCGTACATGATGGTGTGTCTTTTGTAAATAAATAGACTAATTATTTTATCTATTGTTGTTAATTATCTCTACGTAAATGATGATGTATATGTGAATGTATATTAGATAGAAAATTTAATATTAATTTTGTACACATTCATATGACGCTCCATCATTATCATTTTTAATTATGTCGACATCATATCATAGATTATTACAGGTCAAATATATTTTGATAATTTATATATAAATATAAGTTGAA